GTTGATTATTGTTGGGTTTCTCCAGGGACACATTTCAGATACTTTGGGTTTTCTCATGCAGAGGCTCCTTATTGCTCCCCTCTCGCCTCTCAAGCATCCGTGTGGCTCTCTTCCCAAACTGCTGAGGAGGCAGGTTTGTCCCAGACGAGCACGTGTGGCACAGCGACACACCATGATCGTGTTTATGCCGATCAGGCTGAGCCAGCACAAATCTTAGTGCTGCATTTTTAAGAAGCACACAGTTGTACGTTAGCTAACGCTGCTGCGTCTTCTCAGACTCCTTTGCCATCAGTGACGAGAAGCATTACTATTGAAAGCTTTGCAGGCTCAGCTGTTCCAGTCAGGAGCAGAAAACTCGCATCATACCAAGATTTTAAGAAGAACGCTCGTCCGCTGTCAATGCTAGCATCATTAATCTCCTGCAGCTTGATTCCATGTTTAACAGACAGATGTCTTTGCATCTCCAGATCAATATCAACCAGCACAGAGTTAATAGGAAGGAAAATATTCAATTTGTTTGTTCAGGAAAACAAGAAGATGAACCAATGATCCCAATGATCAAGCTCAATGCGCCTTTGTTCTGTTGCTTTACAGAAAACACAGCAGCAGATGTGTTATTCTCTCTCTCTGCTGTTTAAATTAAAGCCTTAGGCCAGCAGTTACTAATATACTGTGCTGGTTTTTTAAAACAAAGGTGTGGTCCGTATTTAGAAAGAGAGCGCAGTGACAAAACTGCATGTAAGAGGTGATAACTCAGAGATTTTAGCCACTCACCTTTTCTCAAGATGCAAAAATACAGAGAATATTTAAATCAAGTGTGCGATTGATTAACTTCCAACACACAATTTAAAGCTAATCGCACCGCTATAAAAAACAGCAGATCTTTGATTTTTTTGAGTTGCTGATATGAAAACTATCTACATCCATCAGTAATTACCCTTTGCCCCGTGTAGTAAATTATACTCTTAGACTTCTAAATCACATTCATTTAGACATTACACCATGTGCTCAAGCTACTATTGCCCCGACTAGCTGAAGACTGGGCAGGTGTATCAGGTGTGTTTCAGGTGTGTTTTACGTGTGTTTCAGGTGTTTCAGGTGTTTCTTAGGTGTGTTTTAGGTGTTTCAGGTGTTTCAGGTGTGTTTTAGGTGT